TGCGGTCGCTGTCCTCTCCCAGAGCGTGCACCACAGCCCTACTCAGAAGTCGACGCGCTTCAGGCGCCTCTCCAACTTCCAGAAGAGTTTTTGCATCGCTCAGATCGGACAAGAGTCGTTCCCAAGAGGGTGGGCAGCGCAAAGGCGTCCGCAAAAAGTCAGCTCCAGTCTGCTCCCCAGCATCTGCAAGGATCTGTAGCGAGCTTTCGCCAAATGACAGTGCCCAAAGCGTGAAAAGCTGGAGCCGCATTTGAAGGCCGAACGCTGCTTCCTTCGTCTGGACACGAGCATGTCCAAGTAGCGTGCAGCCCTGTGCATCTGGTGGCCAACAGGCAACGAGGCAACATCGAGAGCCGCAGCTCCCTGCAAAGGGTAAGCCCTGAAGTCTGTGCGATCACTCGTGCTCGCTCGGTGCTGCTGCTTGAAACCTACAAAAAAGTTCTGCGAAGCTTGTCACTTACAGTGATGCCACGAGTTGAATAGGTAACTGGGAGCTTGGAGCCATCCGCCTTGGTTTGACAGGTCGATGCACATATCAAGCCAAAAAAAGGGGTCGACACAAGAGGCAGCCGTGCCTCCATTTCAGTTTACATGTTGTGTGCCAAGTGGATTAGACATGCGTCTCGGAGATGGGGGCTAATCGTGTCACCCGTTTATCGAGGGCCTGCTTCAAGTTCTCCATCATGGCCGTCCTCCTTGCCTAGCCCGCCAGAGCATGATTGCAGATAATGCTGCTCACGTTAGATGCTTACTTCACCATATGACTGCCTTGACGAAGGGCGTATCAGCCTTCTTGTCATCGCTTCGTGGAGTGTGGACGTCCACAGTGTTGAGGACTGGCCAGGAGATTGAAGGTCATGTTGCTGCGAATGTCATTTCTCGCGGCTTCTGCAGCCTTGCTTCACGACCACTGTCTTGAACAGCTGCGGGACGATCTGGGGCTCTACCTGGATGCATTTGCACGACAAATTGCAGATAAACCCATCGATGGAGCTTGCCCGCCTGCGGAATGTCGCCCAGAGACATTATTCCTGGGCTGCGCGAGGGCCGACCAGACCGTTCGGCCACAAAACAAACACCATCTTGCCAGCAGAGGGCCAAGGTCCAGCACTTCCCCGCAAACATCCACAGCAGCCTCACCTGCGAAGATGCCACCAGCGTCACCCAGGCCATATTCGAAGCTGAGGCCCAGGCTGCTGGTAGAGTAGGCGAAGGTTTTGTCCTGTAGCAAAGTCCGATTGTCGCTGCATGCGTATGCTTTCAAGCACGAACTAGGGCCAAAAAAGCAAAGGAATTTAAAGGAAGCAGTTCGGAAGTATCACAGAGTGTGAACAAGCCGTCCGCATGGCTTTGTTGTTGGATATCCCAAGACTGCCAGGACCACGATGAAGGACACTCGGAATGACATCATATTCTTTCATGCCCGGCTAGGTTTCAGGGATAGCCCGCAAGTGTGGCAGGGCCAGTTGTCCATTCGGCCCAGAAAGTACACTCAATGCAAACATTTCAGCCGATTTCGGCAGTTTGTTGGTCGGCCAACTGGTCACTTTCAACATGCTCTCCGAGGGATCTATCACTGAAGGCGTTTGTTCGTTTTCCGCGTGTGATGCTCGAATTCTACTCAGCAAGTTTGGTGGAATCCCCCGTGGCCACAATCATCCATGTCATGAACGAAGGGGAATCACAATCACAAACTCGGGCTTTGTGAGCAGTATGGTCCAAAAGCTGAATCGTCTCTCAAATCTTCGCCAAGCCACGCTTCAGCGCGGCGCACTCCCTGTTCTGATGAAGTATGATGCAGTATGCTGGTTGCGAGGTAAGTCATCCCCAAACTTGACATCTTTGACTTCCCAGAAGGGCCAAGGAAGGGTTGCCGAATCAGGGTTTCTTATTCTTGCAGAGATGATGTGCTAACTTATGGCTTTGCAAGGCATATGCAGAAACAGGAGCCGATAGTATACTCCGTTTTTTTTTAGCCGAGGGCGGGCTTGCAAGACCTCACACTCCAGGTCCTCCATGCACGTTGAAGCTACAGGAAGTTGAGGTAACGATCGACCACGTTGCGAAGCAAGAGGGTGAGTGATTCAGCGACACTGGACTTTGACACGTGACACGGATGCTGGACTGCTTTCCTCATGTGCTCGTATGCTGACCCGCCGAGCGAGATGGTTGTTATGTCTCGGCGGTGATATTTACAATCTCTCTTGACCTCATGGTGCTCCTGGAGAGCGTGAGCCCGCTTCATAGAAGTTTAGCATTCAGCTGTCATCAGCGTGATCGGGCTGCTGCTGTCTACGGTGTCACGCTTCAATTTTAAGTGGCTTTGCTAGTGTTCCATGAGCTGTTCCATGTGAATCAGATGACCGCCTGGGCAATTGCACGTTGCCTTGTCCAGCTAACAGCTGTCGTTTCGACTTTCTTCTGCATCCTGAATTTCAAGCATGCTTCTTGGCTTTCTTTGCCAATAGTGTCAGTCATGTGTTTGACACTGTTGTTGCTCAGCCCTGAAAATACTCGGTGAAGGCACATACGACAAAAGTCAGCGCAACATATCAGCTCACCATCTGCTTGACCTCTCAATAATCGAAGCGCAAAGCAAGTCGAAATCATTGGATCCACATCTCAACAGCTCTGGCCCTTCAAGTCTTGAGCCCACGGCAGCTCTCAGCTCTGAACAACCTACTGGTCACGTTTGCTTGCCACTATACCAACCCACGGATCCACTCAGCATACAATATGACTGATGTGACATAGCCACTGCACACGAACAGTGAATGTTTGGGACTGCCTAACCTCATGGCACAGGTCCTCCGTAACCTTGATCTCCAAGAGAAAAAGTGCAGAGCCGGGCTTGAGATCCATGCTGTCTTCGTCAGGACTCAGTGTGACAGCAATGCCCATTTGCAAAACAAGAGTGTTAGGCAGTCAGTTGCAGCACCAGGGCAGCTACTCAGTTCCGTAGAAAGCCAGGCCAGGGCGTCCTTGAACCAGCAGCTTCTTCAAGATTTAGTAACCCTTGAACTCTTACGAAGCACCTGGAGGAATCAACTGCCGGCTTCCACCGCGCTTGGCAGGTAGCGGACGGGGATGTTCCACAAATTCACTTTCCACCTGCCGCGAAAACGTGGATTCACCAACATGGTTGGCCTGACAGAAGACAAGGCGCCTTCATTAAGTCACGTACCATGACTTTGGCAGGACACAGCTCCTGAAATGCAGGTGTAAGCAGCTGCATTCCGGAGCACCTTCCGACAGTGCAATTCATTAAGAGGATAGTCCTCTAAGCCATGGCAGTAGTCATCCACGGAGTCCAAGGTCTTAGAGTGGGGTTGGGGTTACGTTTCGCATGGGTCTGCGGCCTGCTACTTTGGAGGAGCTTTGCGTGTACAGTCACCCTGTAACACTGTAAGCATGGGGCGAAGAATTCCAAGGAGTCCTGCATCATGTTTTTGACCACGGCCTGGAGAGACAGGGATCGATTTTGAGCTAAGACCTGCCCTTTCACCATGGAAAGAGTAATCCCCGGGTGTCGGACCAGAAGCTTCTTCAGCTTGCCCTGCCCGAAGGTGCTAAGAGACTTCTAAGGCACGGTATGTTTTCTAGAAAGACCAGACGATACCCAAACTCTTGCGAGCAAGATGCACCATGCTGCACCTTGAGCCGATCATTCTGCGGGAATCGGAACCCTGGCCTGCCGGTACGTGTCTTGGTTCGTCTCGTGGATGGAAAACCAACCTTGGTCACTCTTTGAGGCTGGAATCTTTCCTGCCTTTCTTGCCGATGAAGGCTGACTAGCAGATTGCAAAGATTTCTTTTGCATCTCGGCGGCCTTTGCCCACGTCGCGGAAATTCTTGAGAATAATTTTCTGGATGTTCACCACCTCTTGGAAGAGCAAAAGCAAGGTTCAGCTATGTTCTGCTGGCACGGGCAGGAGGGCTATGAGGCCCTGGCCCACTGGTCCCTGATTTTGTGGGCCATGGAGGTGATGGCCTCAAGCTGGACAGCGCAGTGGCACATCCGACATGCAGAGCCCGCTTGGCGCTTGCTGATTTCTGCAAATGCCGAAACTGCTCCGGCTTCATCAGCCTCATTTGCACAGTGTCACCCCGTCTCCAAAATGCCACCGGCACTGACTCCCAGACCGCGTAAACTTGTTCGCATAGATGCAGGATGCCATCAGGTTCAAATTTTCCTAAATGGTGTGGCACGGTTTTTTTGAAGTCCTCTCACACTCTACCAAAGCAGTCCTGGCAAACCTCGCCCAAGCTGCTCACAACTTCCGGCCTTCACAGAAAGCCCTCAAGCAACTGCAGTGCTTTGCCCTTGCAACTCTTTGCACACTGGTGCCTGATGTAGAGAGACGCAAAACAGAAGGAGGAGAATGCTGTTGTGAAACAATACTCCGGCACCTGGCCAGCAATCTGCTGAAGAGCAAGTGCAGCAAGTGAAATTTCTCTAATCGATAGGTGGCTCCACAACATACGAGCTGGGCTCCCAAGATGGGAGCACAATTGTGACGACCAACATGTGCAAACATCTTAGGCTTCCGCTGGCCAAAGTGAGAACCACGGAACATCCCGGTCAAAGGGATTCTCGCCTGGAGCAGTTCACGCGCGCAGGCGGATGCAGCGCAAGAGTTCTGAGACATCTCTCATCTCCGTCCTGGATCCTCAAGGTCGTCAACATCTATGTCGTCGAGCCTGCGGCGCTGTAGGGATATGATTCATGACTGCATGCAGTGCTTGCAGTTACCATGTTTCCAGGCTGAGCCAGCGACAATCCGGCAAGGTCACTTGCCTGTGCCCCACTAGGCATGCTCGGCATCGCCTTTCCCACAGTATTTCTCATACGGTAGAGATTCTGCTGCTGTGCATGCAGGCAGCCAGAGCCATTTCATCTCGCACTGCAGCGAGCAGGTCATAGGCAAGCGGACTGCATCGTCTGAAATCGAATAGTCAGCCGGTACATTCAATTAATTTGCAGCATGGCACTGCAGATGCTAGGAACGAATTAAACTTTGCAGTAAAGCATTAACAACGTATGCGCGGCGGATGCCGACGATGCGTACCAAATCATCCAGGGTCTCGATTGTGGTTTCACGTCGTGCACTAAGGATTTTTTCAACGATGGCCGAGTCCATGTAGTCCAACTTCGCCCAACCCGAAAGCCTGCGCAGCTCCTCCGGTGAAGCTGTGTTGACCAGGACCAGGAGCTGTAGTTCCTCTGACGACTCCGCCGGACCCAGGATCTGACGCCTTGGAGACTGCGTTCGTCCACATGCCCTGGAGGGTGTGGGGATGTCGCGCTGTCGGCTCTTTGACTTCAGATGTGGAGGCTCAATGTCATCGTCACCGCTTGACAAGCTGGATCTTGGGGCTAAGTTCAACCATCTGACTGCACATGCCAGGAGAAAAACACAGGCACAGCGCAGTGCCCGTTGTGATTGGCAAGAGCCGCAGTAAAGACTGTCAATCTCGTTGGCAACATCCCAACTGGCCTGCACAAGCCTGCAGCAAAAACTCCAAAGCACGCAATGCTCGGGTCAAAACGCAATGTCGCCAAGTATGACTACCTTTTCCAAATACAAGACGTGCCAATCAGCCCTGCCGAGTTTCGCATTCCAGGGGTCGCCCCCTGCATCACCAGCGCAAAGACATGCGGCAGCACGCCCAAGCGTAAAGACTGCGAGTGCTGCAATAACACGCTGCACCTCAGTGCACAGCTCACTTCTCTGAATAGTGGGACAACAGCTGACTCCACACGGCTGCAAGTGTGTAAGTGCCAATGCAGTAGAAGCACTGTACAAATCATCCACTGGCTGCCCATCATGGCTCAAACGGCTGCTAAAGCATGGACAATCATGGACATCTACCCGTCTTTGCCGTTTTTGCTCAGCTTGAGGCCTTTCACACAAACTAAACACAGGACCTTGCTATGTGCCTTCCAAACCTTCGTTGAACCACAACTGGCAGCATGCCAAGCACAGTGAGCAATTGTTGCTATGGCATCTCGCACACCTTTTCCATGCCTCGAACCAAGCTAAGGAAAATCAACCCAATCCGGCCACCAGTAGACTCACAAAGAGCTCTCAGCACGTCGACGCTTGGGATCATCCAGCTGCCTTACAAACGTGTGGTGCATCACATGCCCTCCAGCTTCACGGCCTCAAGTCGTCTCTGGCAACATGCTGCCTGGGAACGCATAAGGCGCATAAAGGTCGCCTCGCTTTTGGTAGGAGGTTGGAACCTGAGGCAGCATAAGCAGGGGATTTCAGGGATGTCACGTGTCGAATCCATCTACGAAGCTCTACTTCCCGAAAGGCGCCCGCCTGTTCTCGAATGCGGTCTGCCTCGGAAGGGTCGACCTCCACAACCCACACGCCAGGCTCGTGTTCTGCCTGGCTGCACCAGTTTACTCTGAAAGCAAGTATGAAGCAAGTGGAAGTTGGAAGCGCGTTTTGTTCATAGCCTCGAGCACCACCTCTGCCCAGGGATTGACCAGCTGCGAGTGGCCCCATGCCTTTACATGAGAACCAAACCGAGCCATGTTCTGCATGCCCCCATGATCAATATTGATATCTCCTTTTGGCCTGGTAGTCATTCTTGTCACTGCTCCTCGCTGGAGATGCAAATGCCACCTTGCAGAGAGTAGTTTGTAAAAGCCTTCTGGGTCTTCAGGAAACTCATGCTGCGAGGCCACGTAAGACTGCGTGTCTACCGCGCGGCCACGCGCCAGCAATTGATAATGCGCTGGCCCCGTCGTCATGTTGAATGCGCCCGGGTAGATCATGACCTCCCAGCTCAGTGACATTGAGATAGGGCAACGAGGCAAATCTGCTTTAGTCAGACGTGCTTGCCCCGGTGCAACTGGCAGTGGTGAAAACAGGAGGCTTTGGGGGCCGGGAGGGCCTTTGCACCCTCGGCGCGCATGGCAAGAGCAAGCTCTGGGAAGCGGCAATCGTAGCAGATACCAACTCCTGCAGAAGAGGAGGGACACTGATACTTTCGGACGCTCGTGCACCCAAGATGTTACCTGCTCGACACCACGGCAGATCAACCAGAGTCATTGTCTCTCCCGCCGAGAGAACGTCTGACTCCTGCAAGTCGAGACATGGGGCACAGCACAGGTAGCTACTCCGTGCCGCCGGGCAAAGCAGAGCGAAATTGACCAAAGAAACATGCCATACATGGCATCCATTGGATGTGCCGAACATGCTCCATGGTCCTTGAATTTCATCGCCGGCCTCGAGACACCAAACATGACTAAGTCACAAGCTCCTGGGCAGACATGCTGTCTTTCAACTTCAAGTCCAATCCTCGACGCAGTGGCTGCCACGTCAATGTCAAACAAATGCACTTTTCGGTGCTTCGCAACCTGAGTGAGCACAAGCTGGCCAGATCGTGAGGAAATCTCTATCAGCTGCGAGTCCCCGACAATGCCCCCATCAGGGTTCAGCACCAAGCAGGTGTTGTATATCTTATCTTCCTGGCATTGGTTGGCTCAATCCGTCCAGGTCTCGAAAGCACATGTTACGGTTTTGCTGTTTGAACATGTTGCTCTGACCTATCATCTCTTGGATGTGACTGCACTTCTGTACCGAGCTGGCATTCCTCAGCCACGCCTGTAGATGCTAAAAAATTGTGCCACCATGCTCTTTCTATCATTGATTCTGCCGGGCGGCGTGGAGTTCTGGGAGAGACCCCCCGACTATCCAGAGCTTCAGGTCTCGCGCCTGACAGGGGCTCAGGGCAAGGATTCAGATCTACAAAACAGCAACCGAGACAAATAGACGACTAGACATCACTAGGTAAGGCGTGGACAAGCTCACAAAGGAGCTTCACAGTTGGGCTGGAGTCTGTCGCCATCTGTCCTGAAAACAAAAGTGTTCGCATCTCTCACTGAGCATGTCCGAGCGAAGAACACCAACTGCTCCTGGCAACGGCAGCCTCTCGCCGTAGTCTCGAAAATACTTCGTGGCGTAAGGGCAGCTGAACCTAGTTTCCGCGAGTCTGCTGTCACGCACAAAAAATTTGCTTGGACTGGAAATATCTGCTTCCAGGAAACATCTCACCGAGAACCACCAGCCTCGCACAGGAAAGCTTTCAGCATCATGCATCCCAAGGGTTCAATGCAACACCACCATCTTTCAATCCACCAAGTCCGAGACTCGGCGCCCTTCTTGGCCTTTCGCAGTAGGGTCATCATGGCACCACATGCATGACACCGGCAAACAAGTCACTAATAGCAACGAGCAAACCACAGTCTACCCTTCGCTGCTGCCGCGGCGCAGCTTCCTCAACTGCCGCCTTCGCATTGGCAAGGCTCTCCTTCTTGTCATGACCTGATCCATTAGTTCTGTTCATCAAGAACACTGTTTTGTTTGTCTCACACCGGTGAGCGCAGTCTTAGAACTGCACTGACATGGGTCCTCATGTGCGAGCATATCATTGCAAGACATGCGCTAGTCAGGATAACATCCTCTGCCACACAGGCAAAGGCTGCTCGGGCGCCCACTGACACAGCCCAATCTTGAACTTTGCATTCGAGCCTGCGAAGGCACACGTCAAGTTGCAGAATCACCCTTGCTGCAGCACGAGAATTGCCACTTTGTAACCTATTTGCTGCGAGGAAGGATACCCTGCGGCACCTTGGCGAGACAGAGCTTGCAACAACATGTTCAGGGATTTTCCAAGGTAAGGACCAGCTGCCATCGCGACGGTAAATGCGCTTCGGGCCCAGAAATTCTCAGATCTGTGCCCGAACCTTGCACACAAAATGATGCACTACTAAGACGTTGAGGCGCCGTAGGACATGTCAGGCACCTTTGCTTTGCAAAGGTAGGCTGCCGCAGGCGGCGAACGAAATGGCTGAGGCCAGGATGAACCTCAGAGGCTTTGCCGTCTCAGGGGACATGCCACATACGAATATCAAGCTTCCAGCCGCGCGCGAGGCTCCTGGGAACGGCCCTAACATGGATTTGAGCCAACAAGCTGCCAGGGTTGCAACTCCACAGCGGCTGCCTGTAGCCAAGTTATTCATACCACAACGCAATGCAGGCAGCGGCCTGTGCAGAGTTGCTATCCAAGCGGTAGCCCGGAGGCTTCTGAACCTGAAGTCATTCACAAGAGCTTCTTGCACCATAACGGCCACTCATGAATCATCCGCATGGACAGCTGCATGGAGCCTGTGGGTCGCTGATCAAGATGATCTTGTTCCTCGGAGAGGCCCACGGGCTTGAAACGTGGTGTGACGCTGTCAACGCCTTGGCCCTGGACATCGTGCGAGCAAAGTCCAAGTTGGCCTCTCGCACCAGCTCATGGCAAAAAGTGTCCGACCTGACATGTGTCAGACTCTTTGTCCAAATCGAGCAGCCGCAGCTTTGGAACCTTCTGTGCCCTGAGTACCTCACACATCTCTCAAACTTGCTGAATTCTTCGACAGCTCCATTACCTCAGCTTCACAGAACCGGGTCAGGAGCCTGACTGAAGACAGGAAACCTTTCCCAACAACCATTTGGAATAACTCTGAGCCACGCACCCTGATCACCTGCTGCTTGCCGCTCAAGAGTTCATGATACTTCATGGGTCCGCACCAGAACGTGCACAGAACACAAAGCTTCTACACGGGCATCTCGCATTTGTGGCCCCTCATTCTCAAAACCGAAAGGTGCTTGGTTTCCTGTGCTCGCGCACTGCGCCCTTTCATTTGCATATGAGCCAAAATCGCAATTCTTTGTATGGCTGATGGATATGGACTTGATTCTGTCGTTTTTTATTTTCCCCCTTATCGTTTTTCCGGCACCTGTGCATTTTTCTAGCCAATGCCTACTTCACCACTGTTAAACAGCTAGGCTGCAGATGAAGATCCCAACGGTTTGCCACATCATGGTCATCGTTCTTTTTGTCTCCCCTATCGGCTCACACGGTTTTACACTGTCGGCCCCTAGGAGATATGTCAACCCCAGACATGATCTAGTGATTGGTAATTTTACTGTCGCACAAAATGTCTACTTTCTGGGTGCACCCCAGCTAAGTTTCGATGCTGACCGGATATGACGGGAAGCCTGATCGTCATCAAGGGTCTGGATGTCATCAACTGGCATATTGTCGACCTCAGTTGCTCAAGAAATCACCTGCAGTATCTTGCTTTTTGCGAAAGCAAGAAGCTTGACAAGGCTCCCAGCAAAAAAGTTTAGCCGTATTCGCGCTTGGGCCTGATAAGGCCGTCGACCGTACTTGCTTCACAAAATCCATTTGCAAAGCCATGGCCTTCTGCAAAGCCTGAAAAGCGTACAGGATCCGGTCAGCAAACACCTTGCAAGAAGCAGTGCCAAGAAGCGAACCAGCCCCTACAGTCCATACAGCAGCGCAACAAATACGCCGCCCAGGGTTCCGTTTGCGGGCGAGGCACCTCCGGGTCCTCGCCTTGTATGACTATTCTCAGTCGGCCCACCGGCTCCAACTCAGCATCCTGCTGTCAGCTCAAGACGGCTTTGCTGCATGAAACTTGTGACAAGACCTCCTTGCTGGAGGACCAGCGCACCAAGAATTCCTTGGTGCCCTTGCCATCCTGAAGGTCCTTGCCAGTGAAAGGCTGGCTACATGCCCTTGTGCACTTAGCACGATATCATGCAAATGGTCCTTGAGGCCTTCCACTGTACAGTCCTTTGCATGTTCGTGCATGTTACCACGCGGCCCCTGCATCAACCAAAAAACACCCTGAAGTCCTCCCACACGGAGCCCCTTGTCTCGTAGATTCGCATGGCTTTGGCCTCCAAGCAGAACAGTGGAAAGCAAAAGTATGTCAAATGAACAGGGCCTGCAAGGGCAGAAAGCTGCCATCAGGCTGCTTGCAAAGCCTGAAAGTCTTGCGGGGCACGTTTGCATTCAGCAAACGCGAGCACCTTTGAAACAGGGACGCGGCTCTAGCCATTGCTCTGGCGCGCGAATGTCAAACTCTGTGTTGTTGAAGTCATCTAGCTGGAGCCAGAACCTGACGAACATGCGTAAGCTTGTGTGTGGCTGCCGGGAAGGTTGGGGCAGGAAGTTTGACAGGTCAGTGCTCGGTCGCAAGCTCTCGATCCCATTCAGGATTGAAGTTGCAGCCTCGCTCCTCTAGTAGAGCGACGACCTTCTTGACGACGACAACAACAACAACAACATGATGCCACTACTCCTCACCTGCAATCTTTGCATTGCAATGTGAGAAGCCGACATCCAGTGCTTCAAACCATTTTCGCCGACGCTCGACCGTCACCTTGGCCACGTCACCACACGTCTGCTCATGAAAGGAGCAAGATGCAAAGCACACGTTGCTTCCAAGCATTCTCAGCTCAGCTGCATGTGCTCACATTGCAGCTAGGTGGCTTTTCGAGGTCTGTCGCCAGGCTTGTGAGCATAGACTTCAATCACCTTGGCTCAACATAAACATACAGCAGCCTGCAACAGTCTGCAGCTGCCAATGGGTCCAAGCTCAAGATTTGTTGCAACACCTAGACCTAGATCGTGGACTAGATGACCACACGTGTGGCCTTGGGTTCGACGTCTTGCGTCGTTCTTCGAGGAGTTTTTGGGGTGGCCTGCGAACAGAAGCTTCCGGCTCTGCCTTGCAGGGACTGGTCTGACAACACCCTTGCCTCCAGCGCCTTTTCCCGCAACCTGTCAGACAGGCTGAAGCTCGTGGCGCTGGCAGACCTCACCGAGAGCGTATGCATTGAAGCCACACAGACTGGTGACTGACTCGTGGGCGCCCACTTTCGCAGCGTGCTAGAGCAAGTGCCCAGATCCTCCGGCCCTAACTTGCAGGAGTCCACCTCCTGGCGCCTGTATGCAAATCACGTCAAGGCCCACACAGCTAGCATGCGCAAATCTCGAAAACTGGCACTTGGCCTATGCGGCTTCACAACCTCGGACAGGATGCCGCGTTGCCTCCGACTCTGCGACATCATTCAACCGATTGAAGGAGGCCAGTTTCCTCGCCTGAAGCTCGGGCTGGCGTTGAAAAACGCTTGGCCAGAGCCACCCATGCTCTGCCGGCCTTGCTTGTTCTGCACTTCATGGGCAGTGCAGGAGTACGAGCATAACTGTATAACATGCACTGGAAAGCACTCTTGAAAAGCAGTTACTTTTGTCTAATTAATGGTCAGACCGCAGGCGTTACGAAATCCGCGGCTAAAGACCATCGGCTACCTAATTCGAGCACCCCAGACTATGAGCGACATGCGGGCACTCTCAGCGGGCTCCAGAGATGATGGCGAGTTGGGCAGGATGTGCGGCACGCCATGCATGAAGACTTCATTAAGCTCCGGCGTGAAAGCGAAGACATCTCCATTGTGTTGAGGGAAGGACATCGTGACACCGGATTTGACATGCAGAAGCGTCAGTTCGCGAACGGCTCCGAATGAAGCTCCTACGGTAAGCTGGGGGACGCCGTCGGCGTCACGTCCGCGGTCATAGTGCAACGGCTTGTAGTCGTATTGCGATCGGTACAAGTTCAGTCGCACAGCCGATGCTTTGATGCCCAAGGCTCCCGCCATCCGGTGCACGAGCTGTGCTCGGAGGCTTTGGTCAGACTCCGGAAGCCCGGACTCAAATTGCAAGCCCAAGTGTCGAGCACCGTGCCATTCCGACATTGCCCTCTCCTCCGCTTCCAACTCAAGACGCAATGTCTCCATCACGCTTCGATCATCCTGCGCACAGAGAAAGCTCGACAAAAAGAATGCATCTTCCCCGTGGAAGATCGGAGCTCCCGATGTGGACAGTTGCGGTGGGCTGGTAGACACACGGATGGATGGCATCCACCACCCACATCGCTCCCACGCACACCAGCATTGTTCGCAGAAGAGCTGGCCACGCTCTGAGAACACCCGATCTGTCACCACATCATGCCCACCACAGGAGTCGCAGGTCGCACTTGAAATTCCAAGCACTGCCGGGTTGCATTTGCTGTGTTGCTTAAGCAGCTCGAAGCCGGCGTCTACACAGCCTGGATCCTCTTGCTGGTACTTCTCTGTGCGGATCAGGTATGCCAACTTACTGGAGGCATCTCCATTAGAGGCACCGGGCATCCACACCGGCCCATTCAAGTCAGGGGCAAGTCCAGCCTGACAAAGCTTGGAGATCCGCATAAGCAAGAGGCTGGGGAAGCATTGCAAATGGTCACCCAAGACGGTGCTCTCGAAGGTAGACATGGCACCGGGGCGCTTTGCAAGTAAGATTTTACGCACACGTCACACTACAGTCATTTTTCCCCGTCCCGCTTGGACAGTCAACACAGTCACAGGCTGTCAAAGTTAAATTCGATTGATTGCAAGTGCTTGACTAATGGGAGCATCTGTCCACATGTTTGGCATCGGCTACGCAATAACCCACTATACGGGTCCTGAAGCTAAATCGAAAATCACGCGGAACGTTAAGGATCCCCTGCGTCTCTGAACAGACATGGCTACCATGCAATGTTTCGAGCAAGGTTCAGCTTGCCTCAAAACACACATGCTTCCGACATGAGCGCTTCCGACATGAGCACCGGAGGCTCGGGGAAGTAAGCAACAAGTCAGGTGACTTGCTTCTCCAATGAACGACTGCAGAATCCATAGCACAGGGACTTTCTGGGGTTGGAGCTTGCATACGACTGATTTAGTACCATCTAGTTGTGGATCTTGCTGCCTCCTCCCCCAACCCTCCAAAAAAGGCAGGAGAGCAGTTCGCACTGCCTGTCAACGAGGGCAGGGAGCCAGAATGGCCCATTTGCCTGGCCACAGATCAGAATGCATCAAGTGCCTTGCAACGCCCCCAGCATCTCAAGATTTTCTAAGGGGCGAACTTCTTAGCCACCAGTGTCCGCTTGCCCCCAATGCTCCTGAACTCCGCGACCTGGGCCGGGCTAGGTCCCCTTCGCCTACCATTCCAGCATGCAAATTCATTCAGCGCTGCCTTGTCGGAGCCCTCCATGGTGAGCACTCTATCTAGTCCTCTCCCCCTCAAGGTCGGTGCCGGCACATGAGAGGGAGGCTACGGGCCTGTAAGCCCTGACAGCGCGCAAAGTGCAGTAAGTTTCAAGCTGAAAAGCACAGCCCAGACTGCTACAATGCAAGCAAGCAGTGACATGTTCCCTTTCTGGCGCTTGTTCTGTGAGACTCCAGGTTTGGACTTTGCCGATGATGGTGTGCCTGAGCAGTGGGATGAGTATCCGGGTAAGGCTTGCCCTGTGTGCTGCACCATTTAAGGGGTGCTTTGCAAGCCCAGAAGCAAAAGATTCGCAAACCATGCCCTTTCTTTCTCTTCGATGGACTCTCCACAGCCTGGCCACATGAGTAAATGGTTGGCTTGCCGGTGCTCATCTTGGATAACTTTTTGCAGAGCTGCCTTGCCGGGAGGGGTCCCATCCGCCACCCTGCGAGCTGCTCTTTTGACTCGCCTACCCGAGCAGGGCAAGGTTTAGCATCTGCTTCTCATACTTAATTTTATTAAGCTTCGTCCTCTTTACCCTACCAGGTCTTGCCATCGTGCATGGTATCCTCCGTTATCCTGGCACAGTTATAGAATACAAAAATCCCCGAAGGTCATGGCCTCTTTCGTTTCCTGGAGTTTGGCTCAGCAGCTGCGCGCATGTCCGGGCCAGGCTTACATCGGTCCAAGCGGCACAAGAAAAAACCCCGGCATCTGTGAGTGACTGGGTCAGACCGCAGGCAATACTTCGCCCAGCTTGGGAACGGCTTGTCTGAGGACGCTTGCGCAGGTGCATTTCTCCACCAGGAAAGGGCCTCCACCACCTGAAAACTGGGGTGGTTGCGCAACACTTCTTCCACCACGTCCTCATTCTCCAGCCGCAGAGTAGAGCATGTGGAATACACAACTGTCCTCAGATTCTTCCATGCAGGAGAGCATACTCATCTTAACTTCCCGGAAACATACAATGAGTTGACGGCTCCGTCAGTTTAGCAAAGCGTGAATGGGGACAACACAGGGATGAGGGATCTAAAACATCAGCCAGCAATTAAACATCAATGAAAATTAAGCATTGGAAGGCTAAATGACGTAATCCGAAATCTGAACTGCCGTAAATGGCACATGTCCAATCCAAGGACCCAACAAAAACGAGGAAGGCTACACAAAATGCTGTAGCTAGAGTCTACAGTTAAAAAACCTCAAAAATTGCCGTGGTGTTCGGAAGACAGTATGATTTGGAGGCGCTCGGAAATCAAGGGCGCGTGAGCAGCATGATGTAGAAGTGTTTAGCAGAACGATTCAGTGGTGTTCGGAGGCTCTGAATACGGGGGCGTTGAGACCTATTTAGAAAGTGCTAGTGGCAGGGTTTGGAGGTGTTCGAAGGCTGTAAGAGTTGCAAATGACACAAGTGCAAAGATTTCCGCTCCAAACATTACAAAGAACACAGTTTGAAGGCGCTCGGACGTCAACTAGAATATATGGCAGTGTTCCAACTGTGGTTGCCAAGGGCTGTGGACGGATTTAGGCGGAGAAATGCAAAAAGTGCCCGAAAAGACGAAAAGCCAAAAAGTTCTTGGATGCAATTTATCACGAAAAGTAGACAAGCCGAAAAATCCGAAAAGTCCGAAAAAGTATCCAAAAGTATCGAAAAGTCGAAAAGAAAAAAAGTCGAAAACTTGAAAAAGTTTGAAAAGCTAATAAAAAAACGAAAAGTCTAAAGGTAACAAAAAACCCGAGAAAAAGAAAGTCGAAAAATCGAAAAAGTTCGAAAAGTTCCGATAAGTGACAATAAAACCGAGAAGTCGAAAAGTAACGAAAACACCGAAAAAGTCGAAAAATCCAGAAAATTCGAAAAGTACCGAAACACCGGAAAAGTCGAAAAGTCGAAACATCCGGAACAGTTGAAAAGTGCCGAGAAACCCTAGGGCTTCCGACTAAACTCCCCTAGCCCCCAAGCCACAAAGCACTCTTTAAGGCTTCGGATTCGTTTCTTTGGCATCCACCTGCTCCAGAACGCGTGCCCACGCCGAACCTGTTCTCGGAAAGCTTGTTGGTCTGAGACTAATTCCTTTGAGGAGGGTTGAGCTCAGCGGCCCACGCCCGAATCTCGTACCCGAAACACAGCTTTTGTTTTTCGTCTCTCTTGCCAAAACTGCTCGAAAAGTTGAAAACTGTAACTTTTTGCGAAAAGTTTGACTGTTTGATTTTTTGCCGAAAAGTCGAAAAGTGAGAAAACTGCCCAAAAAGTCAAGAAGTCGCAAAAAGTAAAACGTTTTGACATTTTGCCCGAAAAGTCGACAAGTGAGAAAACTGCCCGAAAAGTC